TAAGTGTTAATTTAAGTTTGCCTGCAATGTATGCACACTCTTCTTTTTTAGTTTCTTTTTTCCGCGATATAGTGTTTCCACCTTAACGCCTTCCGTCTACTCCTTTACTTGCGGAGCGGTTATTGCCTTGAAAAGAGACGGTCTTTCGATAGCTTTGAAACCTATTTCTACAACTTCTTTTGCACATAGTAAAATTATTCAGTGTTTTCCAATCCTTTATTGGGTCGACAATTTTTTAAGAGCCAAGGCGCTATTAAAGGTTGCTTTGTTCCATTGGTTTGCTACCACTAGGCCAGTGCTAGCATCCAGATCCGCTCCTACTGCTCGGGCATCAAAATCGTATGCATCTAACTTAATTTAAGCGTATTTATGTCGTCAACAGTTGTGAGTTAGCAGCTTAACTCTGCAGTGTCTGAATGTAGCGTAAAAGTAGCAATTTTCCGATTATACCGAAAGCCCATTGAAAATGCGAAATCAAAGTGAAATAGTTTTATTAAAATATAAATAAATAACTAAATATAAATATATGTTTTTTATCCGGACGAGTCCGTCACTCGGTATGTATAAACGTTGCGACGCGATCTGAGAACCTAGAGATATGATAACTATTCCTGTTTTATTGTTATCGACCAACATAAAAAATAACTAACTAAAGCCACCGAAATTTAAGTAAAACAAGTCATTAAAAAAACGCTTGGATAATTTGCAAAGAACGTGGCAAGCGGCGCTAAGCGTACTCATCTTTCTTACACCTGTGTAACATTCATTCAAATGCGAAGCTTCGAAATTACGATTGAATTGTGATTGAATTATTAGCTGCTTCTGTAGTTCAGAATTGTAATTTCTTACTTTAGCAGTGAAGTGACGGTGTTAGTTGAGACGGCACTCGTTGTCGAAGAATTTTGAGGTCAATGAAAGTCGACGGATGCGTGTTTTTATGTTTTTTTTGTCTAATTATTTAGAGTGGAACCTTGGTATCCTAGTGTCGTTTTTTTATTTTATTTTTTTTTTATGATCAACACAAGTTTTGGAAAATATTTAGAAAGCGCAGATAAGACTGGGTTCATTATATCGTCTTACTTTCCTTTATTTGTAAACACGAGTCTTAATGTCCTAATCTCCATTCTTCTTCTTTTTTATGCTAAATATGAAATGTATTTAAAAACGAAGGTCGGGCTTCGGGGTATCTCCTAGTCGGGCACCCCCAACTAGAATTTTGGAGCTTATTTTACTTTATTTCTGTTATTCCTTTAGCAAGAATCCATTCTTAGAGAATGAATCCATTCTTCAGCTTAGAGTGTTCAAAAATGACCATCAAGTCGATAGCGTATTCCGCTGTGCTGTTACGTTTTAGCCCGAAGGATCTACATCAATTTGTGGTAACTTTTCGAGTCTGTGTCATGTGATCGACAGTACCATGTCCTGTATTAATAAAAATGCAGAATTTATGTGTGTTTTGCTGTGATTTATTTTGTGACCTGCTTCTCCACATTTAATGCAAACGCCTCCGCCATTTTGGCCTGGGCCTTGGCACTTAGCATGTATGTGGCCAACCCCAAATCTCTGTGGCATATCCCTAGATGCCCATCTCAAGTCTAGGTCTTACAAAACGTAATTGTATGTTTCCCAAGTTGACCAACTTCTCTGCTAATTGGCGCTCTAGAGTTACACAAGCTCTAACCTGCTCCCGGCTATTCGACGCACTGACTCCGCAGACTCCGACTCTACTGTGAGTGAATCAATATTTCGAATCTCTATTGTCGCTATAGGCTTCAACTCAGCTACCGTGGCTGTTTTGAACATGCTCAAATAGCAATTGTTCCCGTTTATGTCACAAGGAGTCTAACGGATTGGGTTTCCCTTTTGTCTCTTACACTTGCCTTCCCGTGCTGCGTCGGAGAACATCTACGTGGCTCTGTCTTTGTTCAAGTTTTAGGTGGACCGGGTTTAGTAGCGAAGTCCGTTTTATGGCTGCTGCTTTCAGTTTTTCTGCAATATCCGTCTTCCATTTTGTATAAACGCAAACCAAGCTAGAAAATTGCGAGAAACGATATCTAGTATAACAGAAATGCTATTAGTTCAGTGGGATCAATCGTGCTGTGAGTCAACTTCAACTACGATAAGTAAGTCTCCAGATAAGCATCAAGTATTTGTAACCAATATTACATTATCTTAACTTAAATTCTGCGAAGTTCAAACTAAGTTTCAACACTCAACAAGAAAAGCAATATTATTGCATTGTCTACCTCAAATTATTATTAATGCTCGCCCATAGATATGCTAACCACACGTATATTAATATCAAAATTTGAAAATAAATTTCTATTCTCATACACAGCAAATGCAGCTGGGAAAAGAGGAAGTGTTGCTGCATTCATTTGTGAATGCATTCCTCTGCTTCTCTACCTTCAGCTTGCATTGCAATTCGCTGAATGTGAAGTGTTACACACTTAATGTCATATAACACCCATGGTCTGGAAGGAAGGTCAGAGGTCGGGACTGCCACATTATCAAACGTATATATTTGGCAGACGAAGAGGATGTACAGCATTTAATGCGAAGCCTAGACATAAAGATAAACTAAGAGAATCTTATCGCTGCCTTTGCTGCGGCACCCCACATGAAAGCAAGAGAAATGACAAAAAATATTTCTGGCCTCAAGTAATCGACAGGCAAACAAAAACGTGTGTGAAAAAAATAAGACTGGACTGGGGTGTCAGGCTGTCGGGCTGTCGGGCTGCCGAACTGGCGAACTGCTGGACTCACGAATAACATACAAAAATGTTGACCACGTTGACAGCTTAACGTACAAAATTAATGTGACAATCTAGCTAAATGCGTGTGTGTAGGTTGGACATAAATATGCGAGTATATAGCATACATATGTATTTGCGCATTGAGGCAGATAAACATGTTGCCAAAATGACCAAACAAACCTAACAAAGCGAGTAGGAGGGGTGCAGCAGCAGCAGCAGCAGGACAAACAGCTGCCAAACTGATAGACATTAATTACGCACAGAAATACTAGTGGGCAACAAAAACTACAACAACAGCAGCAACAACCCACAACGATGAGTTGGAACTCATTAAATGGGTCTTCCTAGTAAAGCTGGCGGCACAGCGGTGCGTATGCGTGATGCGATCTAATGGTTGCTGATATTCCAGCAAACAAACAATAAAAGTTTTTATTGCCGCTGCTCCCTCTCGTTTTTCATCTCCCTATCGCCTTTCTCCTACCGGGTGCACATGCCCTTGCACCCTTGGCGACTATCTTATCGTGCAGACAACAAAAAGCATTAAATTACTTTATAATCCGTTTATAGCTCCAGCCGGAAGTGGCCGAGACAAGCACACACATGCCACACACACACACACACCCATGGAGTGAGAAAAGGACATCTCAGCACGTTTTCTGCGCACATAGGAGCCAGCTCAACAACATAATCAAATCAAAGATTATGTTGAAACATTGAAATTACGTACAGAGCCGACATACAAACGCCAGATACACAAATACACACACACACACACACACACACTATCTCAAGCACACACAATTACAAACGCAAGCACATATAGATATATATACACTCAACTGATGAAATGTGTGCCTTCTCATCACTTTAGTCAGTAATCTGCCACCAGAGCACTGCAAGAGCAGCAGAAGTTTTAATTTAAGTTGCGCTAAGTGCGCGACCAACAAATATCCTGTAATACGGCAAAATAAAATATGTAAATAAAATCAAATAAAATGAAATCAAAGATTAAGCTTAAAGTTACAAATAAAAATAAATTTAAATTAAATTTAAATTAACTTTAAAATTCAAATTAATATTAGAATTAAATTTATATATAAAATAATATTTAAAATTAAAATTAAATTATTTTAAAAATTTAAATTTAAACTAAAATTAAAATAATTTCTGTTAAAACTAAATTATTTTATATATTGATAATATATACTAAATTAAAATTATTAAAGATAAATTCAAATTAATGTTAAATAAATATTTAATTAAAATTACAATTGTAACTTAATTTTAAAAATATTAATTCAATTTAAAATAAATTTAAAGTAAACTCAAACTGTTTTAAAAAAAAAAAAGAAGACTAGAAAAAACGAATGAATTCAGCAAAAACATAGGCTCATAAGAATTTAACTTTTTATTATTTTATTATTAAGTGTAGAATCTGTACAATCAAATTTAGTACCTTAACAACACATGTATATATATGGAATTAGAGCCATATTATGAGGAATTAAAAGTTTTACTGTATTTTAAAGCCATTTTAACAGATTAAAATTTCAAATGTTAAATATAACAATTTATAAATGCAGATTTAAAACACATTTTTAATTTGCTTTTCTTATTCAATTGCAGAAAATCGATTATACTCGAATTTATATTTAGGTTTTTTATGTCTAACTCAGGTTAACATGTTCGAAACTTATCCAATTAAAATCATCACATTCCGAATAAACAATATTTGGCTTCTTCTAATCACACTTTATGTAAAATTTATTTAAGACTGTTGTTTACGTGCACAACAGACCCGCCTCGTTTTTTGCACATTTACAGGGTATTTCAAAAAACTGCTGCATAGCATGAGGCGCCGCTCGACTGCCGCCAAACAATTACACACATAAAGCAAAATGCGCTACAACTTTGAACTACTACCCGCTCAACGTAACAAGCACACCTCTTGCCACGCCCCTTTCAGGCCATAGTAGGAAGCAGAAGCCGCAGCAGTCGACGCAGCATCAGCTAACGTAAACAGGCAAAAATCTTTGGTTCATTCACAAGCCGCTGCCAAGGGCGCAAGTGGCATGCTTTTTAGCACTCACTGTGTGCTGGACATGCGCACTGCCCATCGTCAGCTGCTCTCGCCACAGTCTGGCAACGCTGTACGGCGTCGGCAGCACAAGCGGCCCAAATACTTAGCAATGCTACCAGTTGGCTGACTGCACTCGGCTCGTAAGCGTCGCGGCTGCTTTTACCTTTGTGCACCGTGAGGCTGTCCGTGTGTGAGAGAGCGACGTAAGGGTACGTGTATGTATGTGTGTGTGTGTGTGTGTATGCGAGTGTAAATTGGTGCGTACGGGCGCCAAGTTGTTGTGTCTTTAACAGCCACCACAGCACCATTGAACCACCTGCCACAGCACGCTGCTATTTTCAGTGGCACTCAAAAGAAAAAACAGAAATAAATACACACACAATAAAAGAATCTGAAACTTCCGGCTGACGATGTGCATATAAAAAAGAGCCAGGGCATGTTTAAAGCGGACAGACCTGTCGGAAGTTGTGTTTAAACAGCAGCAATAGCGACAGCAATAACAACAATAACGGTAAACAAGCAAAAACATTTCGCAATTCAACACAGCGCGCAGGAAAGTAGGCAACAGTTTTTTGTTGCGCACCATGGAAATGGACGTCAATCGTCAGACACGCCACAATGCCAACCTAATGACCATATCCGCCCGCTGTTGTGCCAACAACAATGCAACAACAGAAACAACCGCAACAGCAACAGCAACAGCAACAACAGCAACAGAAATTGAAACGCCTGCAGCGAGCGGCTGTTGTGGCATCTTAAGTCGTTTGTTCTGCGTGAGCCGCCATAAGGCGACACAGTCGGTGGCAGGTACTGAGTGCAGCCAAGGTGAGCCATTGTTCATGCAACGCAAGACGCTGACAACGCAGCCGGCAGCACAGCGACGTCGACGTACGCCACAGGAAATCTATTTCGAGAGTCGCGGCAAATCCTGCAAGAAACTTTTAAAATTCAATGGTAATTCCAATAAGGTGAGTGCAACAGAAAGTAACTGTAACTGTAACTGACAGAGTGTGTATGTGTCTGGCTGTGCTAGTGCGAGTGTGCATGAGAGTGAGCGATTGAGGACATGACAAGCCAAAGCATCGACTCGAAATCTGTTGACAAATTTAAGCAACCCATTTACATAAGGACAAAGCTGACCTCGAAGACACAGCAGATTAGAAAGGATTTAAGAATTCAAACAACAAATGTATCAATTTCTTAATGCTATCAATAAGCATATGACTGCACCCCTTGCTGCTTATCAGCAATATATGTGCCACAACAAGCTCTAACTTAACTTAGGTCTGGCTAAAGTAGATATCTGCAAGGCTTATAGAAAAATAGAATCTACTCTCGGCTTTTTGTATAGCCTCTCAATTTTATTATCGGCACAGTTTACTATCAAAACTGTAACTAAATGATTAAGGACTAGCAATCAGGTCGAAGTTATTTAATCAAAAAGGAAAAAGTATAATAAAAATATTTTAATTTTTAAGACTCAAGTTTCTTAGCTTCTTATCTTTTTGAAATGCTGCATAATTCCTTTAATGGCATCCAGCTGAGTTTGAAGTATTTTGTAGTACAAATAGTTGAGAGCTACAACCACTGTTACCTAACACCGTGAGCAGTCAAACCAATACACAAGTGATTTCACTTCACAAATTTCACTTAGGCATTCATGGGTGAGTGCTCAGTGTGTGCGCGCCATTGTTAGAAAATTTGGAAAATTTGTAGCTTTAGCTGTAGCTGTAAAGAGTAGCGTGGAATTGAGTCGATTGTTGGTCTTTTGTTTGCGGGGCACTCACACACACTCACTCACACACACGCACTGAAATACTTTTACTAATACTCATACTCATGCCCATAGTCTGAGCACTTTGCATATAAATCATTTAGTATTGTGGCTGGGTCGCAATGCGCTTATGAAATATTTCATTTGGTTTAATGTGCCAGCAACTTTAAGCAGTGTTGCTACATGCCACATGCCACACGCCACAGGCCACACATGACTACTTTTTCTATGCTGCCTTGCACTAATTAAAAACGTGCAAAAAGCAAGCCAATCAAACAGGTCGATGCACAACAATGGCCTACCCAAAATCGCATATGCGAATATATAAATGCATGTGTTTGTAATTGTGTGCCTGTGCCTGCATCTGTGTGTGTGTGAGTCTGTGAGAGAGTTTGTGTGCGCTGCAGGACACAATGCCATGTGCTGGCTGTCCAACCCAGCACTAGGCGCGCACTGAAGCGCAAGCAACAGGATGAATTTGTTAAACAACATGAACGTGAAGCTGGCGGAGCTTTTCAAGCTTTCCTAGAGCATGGTCTGGTCTGGACTGGCCGGGGCTTCAACCAGGACTAGGACCTGCAATGCCTGCAATGTGAAAAGTGAAAAATGAAAACTCATTCGCCCTATCAAGTGACATCATCAATTTCAGTCTATTTTGCACTGACGAGGCGAATGCAGCTGCTGCACAAGTGCCACAAAAAACGGAAAGGACGAAGCCAAACGCCAGAGAGCATTAGCTGTTGCACCAGACGGAAACGCATTTTGCATGTGCTGCAAGGGCTTGGGGCGACAGAAAGGCCATCGTGATATTGTGGTCTAGTAACAAAAGCAAAACAACTAAGAAGACCCAATCGCCCAGTCGCGATGACCCAACTGATAGATACCCTGGACCACTGCGTGCATATCTGCCTGACTGTCCACACAGATGGGCAGACAGACATGGCTAATCGACTCAGCCTTTCGACTCTCAGTCGTCATGATCAAGAACACATTTGCCTCAAGTGGGATTGGATTCAATCGACTCGGCTATTGTCACTGCTGCGGAATATAAATATACGTGGATAGCCCACATATTCAGCTGATTGTTATATATATTTCAATGAAATCATTATACCCTCAATTCTCTTTTGAAATGGATTCAAGGTAAAAACAGAAAGAAAAATCGTGCCAAGCTCTGTTTTAAGTTAGACTTTCGCATTTAGCTGTCAGTCACTTAGAGCGAAGGCTATAAATACATTGAAACTTAGGACCACATAAGAATTTATACTGAGGTTTTATTAGAGTTGAAAAGGGCTCGAAATCTATGATCGACATTTAAAGACCAATGATATCAACCTACGTAAAGGCTTGGCCTGATTGTCTAAGATCGTACTAAGTATGCTGAAATGACTTAAGTTCGTTATTAACAGAGACAGACAGACATACCTTACGGAATGTCCAATGAACTTCAAATCATTTCAGCTTAAGTTACAGTGCAATTTAAGCTTTATTTCAAACTAATTTCCTTGCCAAATTTTCCAGCAACATTGAATTTGATACTTTTTTAACTGCATAAATTAGTTACAATTTAATTAAAATTTCCTCGCTAGCTCAGAACTGATTTAATTTACTTAATACAATTAAAGTTAGAGCAAGCTTTTCACGTGCGTTAAAAGAGGCATTCTTAGGCCTTTATTGATCTACATATCACATGAATATGGCCTCAACACAGTTTCAAAAACTTTATTAAGTTCCAGCACGAGTTAAAGTTTTGTTTGTGTCTAATTAAATTTTAAAAGCGTCTAACCCTGGCAGTCTCCCAATTGTGCCTAGTTTATAGAAGCAACCAGAGCTCAACCCTGGCTATCAATGCACGAGTGTAGCTGTGTTTTAACCCCCCGGTCAGCGTTTGGCTTACACCTCAGACCTCTCATCGATTTTATAATGAAGCTATAGAGCAGAGTGAAGCAAAATGTTTGTTTTAGCACAACGAGCCTCAGGGTGAGTGGAGCACGGGCCACCGTTTGCAACCACCGAAAAAACCTACCCCCCGACTGACATTAGGATTATATTGCATTACGGAAATTTGGGGGCGACGGTTGCGTTACCTTCAAAAGCGTCCTAATGTCATTACTTTTATGTCATCAACGGAGCTCATTGAGTCACAACCTTGAAATGCAGCCAAGATGTAAAACGCAAGTGGCTGACAGACAGCATGAACTGTGAATCTAATATGTAGCTGTATGAGCCTGATTGCAAAACAAATTCAATTTATTAGCAAACACCAAAAGCTCGAAAATCAGACAAAGAATCCCTTTCTGCTAATCAGCTTGAAATATGCTTATGAAACTAAGTCAATTTAGAGGAAATTCAATTCCTCTTTACGGAATTTGAATAAGGAATATGTCAAAGAATTAATTAGAAATTTTTTGAATAGAACAAGAAATATACAAAATAAAATAAAAAACATGGTTTAACTTTGGTAACGTTGCCTTGCGAAGTAAACTATGGTTGCAATATTTATCTTATATATCTTATACCTTATTTAGTTATGGGTAACAGGTAGTAGAAGAAGTAGAATAAGCAAAGGAAATAGTCAATAATAAACTATGATCATACTCAATAATATGATGGTCATAATCAGCTCTTAATGACTCATAAAATATAATAATAAAAGACTTGAAATTATATAAAGTATATCTTTCAAAAATCTTTATATATATATCTTTAAAAATTTTAAAATTCACATATTCAATCATACTTTAAAAAATAATCAATAAATTTAATCTATGTACGCCAAACCTAAGATCCAAGCTCTTAATTATTATTATTATTATTTTATTTATATATATATTGCACGTCAAGTACATCTCAAGTCGATTTCTGAACTTCCCTTTTAATAACGTTCAATCTTCTCTTCAAACTGCAGCACTGCAATTTCTTGTCAGTTAAAAGTTTAATTTTGAGGAGTTGCTTGGGAAAATTGATTAAATTTTGAGAAGAGCACATGTGAACTCGTCGCTCAATAGCTGTGAAAGGCTTGGAGAAAGTTTGCAGCACCTAGGAGAAGCTACTCTTAAATTGCAAATAATCAATTGGAATGAAATTCTTTTGTCTTCCTGTCGAGCTTTGACTTTCTTATTAAATAGTTGCTCAAAGTGAAATTTGGTATTTACTCCGTATGAAGCATTTGCGTTTAATTGTTGACACTTTGTGCACAAAAGTGCCTATTACGAAGTAAACAAGCCAAAACTATCTAAAAGTTTGTGGTAAGCGGCTTAAAGGCTTCGGTTCTTTTCAGAGTTTATCAGCGTGTCGGAGGCACTTCCTGCACTCACTGATTGCTAAACAGTCTTGGCCAAGTTTGCGCTCGAGAGAAATCATCATGTGCCAACATTAGTGACCCGGCGCATGCATAGCAGACTGGTTGGCGAAAGTCCTTCGTCCTTTCATCGCCCATAATTATGCTGTAGCTGGGTTGTTGAGCTGCTGGTTGCCAGTGGCCGGGCACAAGGCTCAAATGCAAATGCAAATCAAGAAACTGCCCCGCCAACAAAAGCCGTGAGAGCTCAAACAAAAAAGGGTATTATAAAATGGACAGCCCTCGCCTGCAAGCGGAAGTGACTGGCCCATCTGTCTGTCTTTCTGTCCATCTGTCCGCTCCCTCCCTCTCTCCCCGTCGTTGTCCCCCTCTGACGCTCTCAAACTGTCGCCTCTGTCAGCTAAAGTAACTGTGCATGTGTGTGGCTTTGAGCATTGTGCCGTATGGAACTATGGTTATACCCTTTCCAGTTGTGGCTTGACTGAGAGGATATAAAAATATATATTGTAAATCAAATGAGCTTTTGAAAACTAAGTATTTGAGACTCAAGCTATGATACTTTGTTAGATTTGCAGGAAAACGTGCTATGACCTAGTCAGCTACCAAGTTTTGCTTGGCTTAATGTTGGCTAATCCTACAAGAAAATCAATGCGAGTCCAGCACAGGAAAGGCAAGGACAGGTACAATAATTTAAAATTAATTGTGAAGCCAAGTGCAGGTGTATTTCGCTCTACCAAACTGTTAATTTCTGTCACAAAAAAGAGAGTCAAAAAAGTTGACATCAACATTGCAACGTTGTAAGTGCCAACGGGCAATGAAGAGCCAGTGAGCACTGGCAAAAAATGAGCAGAAGAGCTGAGCTTACAAACAGTTGGCTGCTGCTACATGTCCGC